TTTTTTTTGTTGCTTTTCTTCAAAATTAAAAACTTTAATTTTAGATTAAAACTTTTTTTTCAGTTTTTTTTTTTTTTTTTTTTTTGTCTTTTTCCGTGTCCAGCAACGGATTGCAACCCTCGGTGTTGCCTCCACGCCTCGCTCAGCCAGTGAGCGGGAACCGGTCCGTATGTGGGATCCGAACCCTTGGGTGGGAGCGCCGCCGCGCTTCCCAAGCAGTGCACTATCCAGTGCACCACCGGGCCGGCCCCTTTCTTCAGCTTTTAACTATTGATAATGGATTGATATAGGTGATTTATATAGCAAAACCAGATAGAAATTTCATGACATATTTACCCAGTCACATATTTCACTGCCTGTTTTGTGTGTATTGTGTGAAATACTGGACATGGTCAAAAATAGACACTTAAAATGTTTTCACTGAATCCTTTTGTTCTACCTGCTCTAAGCTTCTCACAACTTGCCTTTCTGCCCCTCTTCCCCATACATTTTTTACATGTCTCCAGCTCTAACAAATTTCACAGAATGGAAATTTTCATCAACTCTTGTGAAATTCAGTGATTAGGTCCTGCTCTGACTTTTTCCCTGAACTCCACACCAGAATGGGCAACTTCATATATAAATTTACATTTGGTATTCTTCTCAGAGATATTTCAAACACAGTATGCCCCAAACCAAAATATTTCTTTCCTGCCATCATTAACCACTACCAAAACTATCTCTTCCTTTTTTTCTTTTTTAGCAGCTGGCCAGTATGGGATCCGAACTCTTGACCTTAGTGTTATAACACCACACTCTAACCAATTGAGCTAACCCAGCCAGCCCATTGTGCTGTCTTCCTCTTTCATTCCCTATCTTGTTTGGTAAAAACTCCAAGTCAGAGACCCAAGGTCTATCCTACCTACTCCCCCACCTCATCCTTAATACAGAATCATACCCAGGTGATTTTCCCTCCAAAATGTTTCTCAAACGTATCTTCTCTGTCCTTACTGCCACTGACTTAGTTTGCTTTTATTTTATCATATACCTGAACTGTTGTAATAGCTACTCTAAAATCTAATCTTTTTAAAATGTTTATACTACTACCCATACTTATTGAATAAGATTCTAGGTCTTTAGCGTGGCATAAATATAAGTGGATATCTTCTCTGTCCTTACTGCCACTGACTTAGTTTGCTTTTATTTTATCATATACCTGAACTGTTGTAATAGCCACTCTAAAATCTAATCTTTTTAAAATGTTTATACTACTACCCATACTTATTGAATAAGATTCTAGGTCTTTAGCGTGGCATAAATATAAGTGGCCTTGAACAACTAATTGTCTGTTAACAGAATTGTTTAACTTACAAAAATTTCAGGTTATACATTCTGGCTTCTGAGTTGTCTGTATTATGTGTGATTTTTTCATCCCTTTTCCAATTTTTGCCTCAACGTATGATATTGAAGTATTTCCAAAATATATTTGCCTTTTTTTAAATTATTATTATTATAGAGTATGTCATAGGATTGAGTTTCCACAGAGACTTGTTGGGAAATGCATGTAATGATAATAAATACATGGCATAAAAGACATTTCCCAGTTTAATCTTCATCTTCCTCTCATCTCATACCTCCAGACTTTGTACCACATAAGAGGGTACTTCAAAAAGTTTATGGAAATGTAGAACAAAAAGTTCATGGAAAAATAGAATTAAAAGATAATATGAATCTTTCTGTGAAGTTTTTGAGGTACCCTCATAGGTTTATAGTTAAATATAAATCAGGAAGAATGTGAAGAACTGTATTAATATGATATCATTCCTAAAACAATACAAGTCTAAATATTAGATATTATTATAAATATGAGAGAATAAATGTTATTGAACTTCATTTTCTAAAAAGAAAAAAAAATTTTTGTCTTACACTGCCCATTTAAATTTAAGTCTTAATAATCTTTCAGGAAATAGAAAGAATCCTTTCAAGAATTAATAAAGTTAATTTAGAGTTAAAGATATTCTTCCTTTCCTACCACAGGCCTACTACAGGCCATGGAAGAGTAGGATTTGGTTCGCTTCCTCTTTCTGTCTTTACCCAATTTGCCTTTTTACTCTTCCCCATTTGCTGACTGTTTCTAGCCCTTTCAGGATTAGAAAAAGCAGAGGTTGAGGAAGAAGAGGTCTTTAATAGGAATAGCAGCAGCAACTAATGTTTCTGTGAGGTAGGTTCTATTATCCCTATTTTTCTGCTGAAGAAATTAAGGTACAGAGAGTTTAGTGACTTGCCTGAGGTCGCGCAGCTATATATGGCAGAATCAGAATGCAGACCCAGCATTCTGGCTCCAGAGTCCCTCTCAACCACTCCACTATATTGCTTTTACATGCTGTTGGGAGATAGTAAGCATGTTTCCTAGTCTTGATTAGTGTTTAAATCAGACTTGTGCCCTTTAGAGCTTTTTTCAAGTGTCACACATTTCCCATAGACCTGAGACAATGGGCAAACATGCCCTATCCCTTGCAGGAGAATAGAAGGAAGTGGGATGGGGTTTGGAACTCAAAACACACTGATTACTCTCAGAAAAAACCCATTTCTAATCTTTAACTCTTTGAATGTTGAAGGTGGATGTAACTCAAGGTTGAAAAATAGTTTTCCACTACTCCCTTGCATAGGTGGCCTTACAACTCACTTGGGAATGTGGAATCTGTTGTTTGGTGCCTCCATCCAAACTAAGATCAAAATGGTTTCATGTTAACACCCTGATGCACATGTTCTCCACATACACTGTTTAGTTTGTTGCCTTCACACCTTTATTCATACAGATGGATTGTGACTGTGTCACTTGTTCTGAGGCACGTTTCTGTTTTCTGCCTCAACCACATGATCCCAGTGAAAGTAAGCACTCTTCATGGCCAGGCTTGAAAAGTGGAAGCCAGTTTCCTGGAATGCAACAAGTGCACAAAACACATTATGTTTACCTCTCTCATTTAATTACTTTTCTCAGTCCTACGAAGATAAATCAGAAAATATGTTAAGTGATTTTAGTTTGCTTAGACCAATCCTAGCTGCCTAGTGTCTCATTGTGACTACTTGTCTTCAGGCAGGGTATGTGGAGCAAGTTTATATTTGAAATGTTATCTCTGATCATAATCAAAATAGTTATTTCAGTGACCTTACCTGGCTGTCTTGGCACAGGAATTTATGCCTTGTGTACTTTTTATTGTGATATCAGACAGGGACAGACCTTTTTTTATTCATCTTGAAATCTTTTTTGTTGTTTTTCTTTTCCCATTCCCGTTCTTCCTTTTCCTCTATACATTTACCTGCAGAGAACATTCAAAAGGGTGATTATACATAGTAGATGGTTTAATGTTTGAATTGGTATTGCCCACTGAATACTCTCATTTGAAACAGGGATAATAGTGTACCTGCTGACAGAATATGGCAATCAATAAATTAGCAAATGTGAACCATTTAGAATAGTGTCTGGTACATAGAAAGCAATCTAAATTGTCACTGTTTACAATTATTTAAAACTTCAGCTCTTTAAAACATTAGTTCACAGACAACAATGGTTGGACAGTTTGGGGGGTAGATAGGTGGAATATGTTTTAATCCATTACCTGTCTTGAAGTCTCTCTCTCACTACTATCGTTCAGCTTTTTTATTTAGCACAGTGGTCACACAAAACTATCTAAATTACCTTCTGTTTTAACTACTAAGCCATCAATTAATGCTCTGTTTTATGTATTTTTTAGGACATTTCTGATTCATTTGCATCCTTGAAGAGCATCTGTAGAAGAGAAAGGAAAACATGGGTGTGAAAACATTTACTCATAGCTCCTCTTCCCACAGCCAGGAAATGCTTGGAAAGTTAAATATGCTGCGAAATGATGGACATTTTTGTGATATCACTATTCGTGTCCAGGACAAAATCTTCCGGGCACATAAAGTGGTACTAGCAGCTTGCAGTGATTTCTTTCGTACCAAACTTGTAGGCCAAGCAGAGGATGAGAACAAGAATGTATTGGATCTGCATCATGTTACAGTGACCGGTTTTCTACCCCTTTTAGAGTATGCTTACACAGCCACTCTGTCAATTAACACAGAAAATATTATTGATGTTCTAGCTGCAGCCAGCTATATGCAAATGTTTAGTGTTGCCAGTACCTGCTCAGAGTTCATGAAATCAAGCATTTTATGGAATACACCCAACAGTCAACCAGAAAAGGGACTGGATGCTGCACAAGAAAATAATTCTAACTGCAATTTTACTTCTCGAGATGGAAGCATTTCTCCAGTGTCTTCAGAGTGCAGTGTGGTAGAAAGAACCATTCCTGTCTGCCGAGAATCCCGGAGAAAGCGCAAAAGCTACATTGTTATGTCTCCTGAAAGCCCTGTAAAGTGTAGCACACAAACAAGTTCACCCCAGGTATTGAATTCTTCAGCTTCCTACTCAGAAAATAGAAATCAACCAGTTGACTCTCTCTTTAGCTTTTCCCTGGACTTTTCCTTTTGGAATTGATCGAAGGATTCAGCCTGAGAAGGTTAAACAGGCAGAAAATACCCGGACTTTGGAATTGCCAGGCCCATCTGAGACAGGTAGAAGAATGGCTGATTATGTGACTTGTGAGAGCACAAAAACTACCTTGCCTCTGGGTACTGAAGATGATGTCCGGGTCAAAGTAGAAAGGTTAAGTGATGAGGAAGTCCATGAGGAAGTGTCCCAGCCTGTCAGTGCATCTCAGAGTTCCCTGAGTGATCAGCAGACAGTGCCAGGAAGTGAACAAGTCCAAGAAGACCTTCTGATTAGTCCACAGTCTTCCTCTATAGGTATAATGTCTTCTGTGCTTTTCATGATGCTATAAAGTCAATTCCAACATTGTTAAAGCATTGTTAAAACAACCTATTAGATAAAAAATTTTGTGCTCAACCCTATAGGAAATCTAAAGAGTAAAACATGATAACTGGATTTTTTTAGATGCTATTAACATTACAATTATCTTTTTCTTTTTATAAGTTATGCATTGGAAGAAAAAAATAGTTGAATAATATCTGATAGGACAAAGGCAGAGATATGAATTATGAATTACTTTCAATGCAAAAAATACCAGTTAAAAAAATCCAGTTAGTGTTTTAGTCTTCATTACAAATCTTACCATGTGCCAAACATTGGTGATACATAAAGAAAAAGACAGTGTCCCTGCAACAAAGGAGTTAATAGTCTAATTGCAGGAGCAGATGTGTAAATAAATTATTATAGTGAGCGATTAAAAAGTCCTAGCCTAGAGGTGTGAACAACAGAGAAAGCAAGTTAACACTAAACAGTATATTTGAGCTGGGTCTTATGGCACATTAGTAGGAGTTTGCCTAAGCAAGGGAATAATATCATTTCTATGATGATGTATAAAAGTGCAGAGGATGTATGAAAGTATAGAGGTGTAGAAGAGCATCACATGTTTGGTAAGCAGTGAATTCAATGTAACATGATGTGAACAAAGCAAGGATGCCTGAAAGTGGGGAATGAGTAATGGAAGATGAGACAGAAAGAGAAGCAGTTGAGAGCAGGCTGTGAAGAGCTTGAACGCTAGTTTCAGTTAGGGTTGCATTTAACTGCATGTAACAGAATCCCTTCTTCAGTGGTTTAACCAAACAGGATTTTATTTTTTTCACATAAAATGTTCAGAAATAGGAAGTCCAGGGCTGGTACAGTGGATCTACAATATAATCAGTGGCCTAGGACTCTTGTATATTTATAATTACTGTCTTTAGTTTGTCCTGTGCTTAAGATGCTGACTTCATCTTTAGCTTTGCATTCTAGAAAGGCACAGCACTTATATCAGGAAAGCACAAATGTTCCCTGAAATCTCTAAAACAACTTCTGCCAGATTATGTCATGTGATCTTTCCTAGCTGCAAGGAAATCTGGGAAGATAATGTATATAGGTTGGGTACATAACTACCTGGAACAAAGTTAGAGCACAATGGATATTGAATGTGCAGCTAGTAATGTCTGCCACAGCTAGGCCAAGTAAGCTTGGATTATATCCTAGTGGTAGTAAGGAGTCTACCTTAAAGGAAGTAAAAATACAACATACAGGTATTTAGAAAAATTAGTTTGGTATTGGTATGTAGAGGGTTTGGCTGTACAGAGACACGTTCAGAAACCAGTTACAGGGCCGGCCCGGTGGCGCACTGTAGCAGTTCGCCGCTTGGGAAGTGTGGCGGCGCTCCCGCCGAGGGTTCGGATCCCACATACAGACCGGTTCCCGCTCACTGGCTGAGCGAGGTGCGGGTGCAGCACCGAGGTTTGCGATCCCGTTGCCGGTCCCCGGTCCAGTACGGGCGTGACACTGAGGGTTGCGATCCGTTGCCGGACACGAAAAAAAAAGACAAAAAGGAAAAAAAAAAGAAACCAGTTACAGTATAGTTATCTTGGTGTAAATGAAGAGCAGAACTATAAAGAAAATGCCTGAGTACCTAAAAATCTTGCTAAGTAGACATGTGAAATAATCATTTTTTACCATTCTCAAGTATACCTAATCAGTTTAGATCTTGCCTTTATGATCTTATTAACATGATTATGTAGAGAAATTATGAACACAAATAGAATAAACCTTTTGGTTGTAAAGTAGAATTTATTACCTATGTATTATTATAAATGTGGGTCCTGTTATTAAAGTGGACATAGGAACAACTCTGACCTGAATATCATGTAATCAGATAATCCAATGGGGTTTTTTCCCTTGCCTTCATAGCAAATATACTAATCTCTCTCAACAAACCTATCTTAACTCCAAATTTGCACACTAAAACAAAACCATAGAGAGAAAAGGTAGATTCCTGGGGTATCATAGCAATCTATAAATGTGGGAGGGAGAAAAGGAAGATGTGCTAGTACTTTTTTCTGTATTCCCTAAGAATATTTCCATAAGAGTACTTAATTTTACTTACTAATTTATTAAAGAAGATATCTGAGAGGTAGTTCGTCATTCTTGGGACTAAGAACATAGTGTTTAATATATTCTGAAATTCTAAAATTATAATAATTTGATTATCCATGAAATTAACTCAAATGGGATTTTACCTGTTATTTTAAGTTTCCAGCGAAAGGTTATAAAATGACACCCTCAATTTAAGGCAAATAGAAGCAATAAATACAGCAGATTTAAAGGAGAAAAAAGACTGCTGAGTCTGAGTTGGGTATTGTTACTCAAAAGATGAGGCCATCGGGCCGGCCCAGTGGCGCACTGCTATAGTGCGCCACTTGGGAAGCGTGGTGGCGCTCCCGCCGAGGGTTCAGATCCCCCATACAGACCGGGCCGCTCACTGGCTGAGCGAGGGGCGGGAGCAACACCGAGGGTTGCGATCCCGTGGCCGGTCCCGGTCCGGTACGGGCGCGACACTGAGGGTTGCGATCCGTTGCCGGGCACGAAAAAAGACAAAGGAAAAAAAAAAAA